TCATATTGTTTTCTGCAGCCCACTGAAAGATTTGGTTGATGTCCGCCTGGAGCCTTGCAGTGTCTGCAATGGAAGACACTGTCATGCAGATTCGGGTGTCATCTGCAAAGGAAGACACGGTGCTGTGGCTGACATCCTTGTCTATGTCGGATATGAGGATGAGGAACAAGATGGGAGCTAGTACTGTGCCTTGTGGAACAGAGCTTTTCACCGTAGCTGCCTCGGACTTTACTCTGTTGACGGACTACTCTCTGTGTTCTGTTAGTGAGGAAATTATAGATCCATCGACCGACTTTTCCTGTTATTCCTTTAGCGCGCATTTTGTGCGCTATTACGCCATGGTCACACTTGTCGAAGGCTTTTGCAAAGTCTGTATTATATTACATCTGCATTCTTTTTGTCTTCTAGTGCATTTAGGACCTTGTCGTAGTGATCCAGTAGTTGAGACAGACAGGAGCGACCTGTTCTAAACCCATGTTGCCCTGGGTTGTGTAACTGATGGGTTTCTAAAATGGGTGGTGATCTTGCTTCTTAGGACCCTTTCAAAGATTTTTATGATATGGGATGTTAGTGCTATTGGTCTGTAGTTCTTTGCTGTTGCTTTACTGCCCCCTTTGTGGAGTGGGGCTATGTCTGTTGTTTTTTTGTAACTGAGGGACGACCCCCGTGTCCATGCTCCCTCTCCATAGGATGGAAAAGGCTCGTGATAGGGGCTTCTTGCAGTTCTTGATGAACACAGAGTTCCATGAGTCTGGCCCTGGGGCAGAGTGCATGGGCATGTCATTTATCGCCTGTTCGAAGTCATTTGGCGTCAGGATAACATCGGATAGGCTTGTGTTAATCAAATTTTGTGGCTCTCTCATAAAAAATTCATTTTGATCTTCGACTCTCAGTCTGTTAGCGGCTTGCTAAAAACTGAGTCATATTGGGACTTGAGTAGCTCACTCTTTCCTTGTTGTCATCTGTGTAGGACCCATCTTGTTTAAGTAGGGGCCCAATACTGGACGTTGTTCTCGATTTTGATTTGGCATAGGAGAAGAAATACTTTGGGTTTCTTTCGATTTCATTTATGGCTTTTAGTTCTTCCCGCGATTCCTGACTCCTAAAGGATTCTTTTAGCTTAAGTTCGATGCTTGCTATTTCTCTGACCAGTGTCTCCCTGCGCATTTCAGATATATTGACCTCTTTTAGCCGCTCTGTTATTCTTTTCCGTCGCCTGTAAAGGGAGCGCCTGTCTCTTTCTATTTTACATCTACTCCTCCTTTTTCTTAGAGGAATAAGCCTTGTGCATACATCGAGTGCCACCGAGTTAATCTGTTCTAGGCATAAGTTTGGGTCTGTGTTGCTTAGTATATCTTCCCAGCTTATATCGGTTAGGACTTGGTTTACTTGGTCCCACTTTATGTTTTTGTTATTGAAGTTGAATTTGGTGAATGCTCCCTCGTGACTAGTCTCATTTTGTCGGTCTGGGGCTCCACGCATACATGTCTGAACCTCAATTATGTTGTGATCTGAGTATATTGTTTTTGATATGGTGACATTTCTTATCAGATCATCATTGTTAGTGAAGATGAGGTCTAGTGTATGGCCGACTTGTTGAGAAAAAAAGAAAAGTTTACTGAGCATACCGGATAAAGTGTTTGGTAGGGTTAATATTGAAAGAATTAGAGGTAAGACAGAGAGCAGGTTTGCAGATGAGTTAGAAGGTTTTAGACAGGGTAGGGGATGTATAAATCAGATGTTTACATTGAAGCATATATGTGAACAGTATTTAGATAAAGGTAGGGAAGTTTTCATTGTGTTTATGGATTTAGAAAAGCCATATGATGAGTGGATAGGGGAGCAATGTGGCAAATGTTGCAAGTGTAAGGAATAGATAGTGAGTTACTAAATGCTATAAAGAGTTTTTATGAGGATAGTGAGGCTCAGGTTAGGGTGTGTAGGAGAGAGAGATTACTTCCCAGTAAAAGTAGATCTTAGACAGGGATGTGTAATGTCACTATGGTTGTTTAACATATTTATAGATAGGTAGTAGGTTGGTAGACAGCAACCACCCAGGGAAGTACTACCGTCCTGCCAGATGACTGTGAAACAGAAACCTGTAACTGTTTTGCATGATGGTAGGATTGCTGGTCTCTTTTTCTGTCTCATAAACACGCTAGTTAACAGGGATATCTTGCTACTCCAACTTACACTTTGGTCACACATCATTTCTCAGTTTAAAAACAGGTTTTCTTTCCGGGTTAAATTTAGAAAAATGGCACATTTGCATCTTTTTACATATTTTTTAGGCCATTTTTTATTTTGTGGGACTTTTCAAGTAAGGAAAACGGGTCTATTAATTTATATAAATCCCAACAGAAGTGGAACGAATTCTTCCTCCGTAACCCATGCTTTTGAAGAGGCGACAAAAAATGCTGGGGAAAAGGGCTAGAAACCCCCTGTATAAATCAAAAATTTAAAGGAGAAACTTTTTTTTTTTCCTTTTGGGGCCACCCCGCCTGGGGTGGTACGCCGGTGTTTAAAAGGGAAAAAATCCCAACATAGAAAGATACCCAAAATTTATTTTAATTGATTTGTGAAATCATAATAACACGATTGCAAGCAAACCACAGACAGGTGGGATTTGAGCCCAGGGAAAAGTGAGTTTTAAAAACTTCAGGCCGTGTGAAGCAACTCGGCCAGTTGGCTACAGAAAGATTCATCCAATGGGTTATTTCATATACATAGGGAATCACATAGGCCCCACTGTGACTAATTCAAGTTTTACAATGACTTTCCCACCAACGTGGGTGTGCAAAATTAGCTAAATTGGGCTAACCAGTTTCCCGAACCCCCTTCACAAAATGTTACCTTGCTTTACACTCCAACATTCATCAAGCCCCAAAAAAACCATTGGACTCCACTTCTGTCTAACCCCTATATCCTTTTTCCACAGTTTATTACATAGCTTTGAAATCTATTTAGCTCTTTGCTGAGACACCTGTTTTGATGTTTTTTAACATTTTCACATTCAAACTTTTCTGACCATTTTACTTTGTTTTGCTTAATGGCTAATCATTCCATTTCCTTTTCATTTTTACCCCTGCAGCCATTCTTTTTTTTTAAATCCCTATTACTTACACTTTTTTTTTCAACTTTTCGGCCACCCACCTGGGCGGGGCCAAAAAAAAGAAAATCCCAAAACAAAAATACTTCATCATCATTCAACATTTTTTCGCCTCACTCATACAAAATTTACTGTTTTTGAGAGGCCCCCAATAAAACGTTTAGAAGCATTTTTAAAAGTACAAATCAAAGGGGCCTGAAAAATTTAAAAAACGTCGGGCCCCCAATTTATTAATAATTTTTTTTTTTTTTTTTTTCAACAAGTGGGGCCTTCTCCCACCAAGGAGGGTGACCCAAAAAAAAAAGAAAATCCCAAAAAAAATATTTTCTATCATTCAACACTTCACCACACTCCCACTTTTAAACATGCTTTTGCAGGGGGTGCTCAGAATACAACATTTAGAAGCATATACGTATAAAGATACACAAAAATCCCCCAAACTCCCAATATCCAAAACCCCCCCTTTTAAAGTGAAAGCATTTCCCCCCTTTTCCGGCTCGAGCCCGACTATAGAAAAAACCGGGTTTCCCTTTGAACCCCTTCACTAAATATTACCCTGCTCACACTCCAACAGATCTTCAGGCCCAATATCATTCGTTCCATTCACTCCATCAAAACACGCTCATGCCGTTGCTGGAAGTCCAACCCCCTCGCCCACAAAACCCCTTACCCCTCTTTCCCCCCCTTTGGGGGACGACCCCTCCCCCTTTTTTCCTTCCCATGATTTATATGCTTTCCATGTCATTCACTTTGTTCCATTCTTCTAAATGACCAAACCCCCTCAAAAACCCCTTCTGCCCTCTGATAATGCTTTTATAAACTCCACCCCTTCCCTAATTTCCACACTCCAAATTTTCTGCATAATTTTAAAACCACACATTGCCCTTAGACAGGACATCTCCATCCCTCCAACCATTCCTGCTGCTGCTTTTACCCCCCCCAGCTTCACACCCATCCCCTTTTTTTTTTTTCTTTCTTTCAACACCCCACCTACCCCCCGAGGCGGGGGGGCCCCAAAAGGAAAAATGAAAGCTTCCCCTTTTACATTTAGAAAATATAACGGAGAAGGGGGTTACTACCCCCTTTTGCTCCCGGCAGGGTTTTGGAGGAAGAATTCTTTTCCCATTTCCCCCATGGAGGTAAGAGGAAAAAAAAAGAAAAAAGAAAAAAAAAGAAAAAAACCCGGGGGGGTGTGTATATATATGCTTGTCATTATGTGTGTGTGACCTAATGTAAGTAGAAGTAGATGACGTACCTAAATCTTGCATGTTTATGAACAAAAAAAGGACCCCAGAAACCCACCACTTTAAAACAAACGGGCTTTCTTTTTACACTATTTGGGCAGCACGGTGTACCTCTCGTAAACTTGTTCCCCTATAATTTTTTAACAGTCTTTTTTATGCCCCCCTTTCCCCTTTATTAAAAAGGGGAACTATACATCATTTCAATTTCCTCAGTTTTCTTTCTTTGTATTTTTTTTTAACCCTTAACGGTCCAAACAGATGATTTTCAAATTCGTAGTGCTACAAAAGTAGATTACTTTTTTTGCTTTTTTAAAAAAAAAAAAACAAAAAAAATGTAATATACGTTTGGACCCTTTTAAGGGGTTTAAATGCAGAGTGGTAACACCCTCTACATTTGGAAATTTTTTTTTTATTGTTTTTTAAATGAACTGCATACCCAGTAAATAAACCCCCTTTTTTTGTCACATTTCATTTTTTAATTTTTTTTTTTTTAGTTTTCTTTTTATTTTAAAAGAGCCATGATTTATTTAAAAAAAAAATTCCACCCACAATTTAGGAATGATTGTAAATATTTTGGGGTAATCTATTTTATCTTCATTTTGTTTTTATTCAGGGCAGGTTACTTTTATTTTTTTAATTTAGTAAGTGTTGGTGGAGGCAGTGGAGGAGGTGTGGCAGTAGGCCCAGCTAGTCAAGCATATGGAGGGGGTGACCCTAGCATGACAGGCCCTGCTACTAATCGTCTTGCTGCTATGAAAGCTGCATTTCACTCACAGTACAAGAACCAGGTTAGTTCTCTAGTTTAATAATATTTGAATTGTGCTCATGTTTTGTTAAATCTCTGCATTATTATTGTGTGATTTATTATATTTTTAAAATATTGGATTCTACAAAATAGCTTTATATAGAGTATATTTAATCATGCAGCATGTTTGATAATGTGGAACCATATGCAGACTATCACCAGACAACTCTGCACTCTGCTCTGTACTTAAAAAATGCCCCTCAAAGAAGGTTCCTTGATGCTGGTGAGGGGCTCTTGATCTAGAGAGCTGGATCTGTGCTCTAGTTCCCTGGATTGAGCCTGAATGCCTTCCACCCCCCCCCCCCCCCCACAGGTGCTCTATAACCCTATGGGTTTAGTGCTTTCCCCTTGATTATAATATAATAATAATAATAAGTGTACTTAAACAAATCCTTCCACTATCACTCAGGCTAGCTCTACAGTAATCTACTTGGCTGATTTTTAATTCATTTTATGCATCTTGCTGAATGTTCAGGGCTTTTTCAAGGTCTCAGAATGGTACATGGGCAAAGATCAGTGGAGGTCTGTACAGTATTAACCTCTATAACCCCTTGAGGGTCTAGACCCCCCAATCTGAAAATTGTCCACATGGTCCAAGAATTTAAAAAAAAAAAAAATTTCTTATGCGTGGTAGAGAACTTTTTCTGAAGGTAATAAAGCAAAAAGTATGAAATTTGATGGAAAACTGATGAAATTATACATCGCGAATTTTGCTGTGTCAGTGATATTTACACATCGGCGATTTTGCCCACTTTGAGTCCTACTGTAGGCAAATTACATTGTTCCAGTTGACCAAATTATTAGCTATTTTGCTAGTATGGATTCCATTTTTATTGACTGAGCACAAGAAACTGCCCAATCAACTATTTCAACTACCCAATAAAGTGGTCAGAAATTGGTAATTTGGCCAATTTCACACAAATTTTAAAATATTCAAATATCAAAATAGGTCCAGAATAAACAATGCAGGCATTCCTGGCACTAAAATAACATTTCCTCTGTTATGTTCCCAGGCTTTACACATGAATTTTTTATTCACACAAAATTTTTATTCACATAGAAAAACAGAAGATGTACTCTTACGCAGATATTGTAATAATTGTATAAATAACATCAGGGTATTCATGAATGCCTATCAGACCCACCAGTTGATGTGTATTGGATGTGTGATGTGATTTGTTTACTCTTGAACATCGGGAAAAATTGAATATTTCCGCTTCTTTGAGCTCAATTTCACGCTATTTTCAGTCCTAAAACTAATGAAAATCATCTTTATTTCTATAATATATATTCCATTCTGTCAAATAAGACCAAGACAGTGAGAATACAACCATGAAAACCCTACAAAAATACACCGCAAACTAGCTGTTTTAAGCCAAAAACACGGTTACGTTTTTTCTCATTATTCCCCGCGTGCTGAAGAATTTATTTTATATGGTGCACACTTACTGCGTTGACCCATTCTCTCATATCTAGACCCAAATTTACCATTCACAGCTTATCTGAGTGAGCTGAGCTTATGTTACAAAATCTGATATCCATAAAGTATAGACATCTCCAGAGAATACTTGAAGGTCAACTTATTGATCCCCCTCTAGAATCTATCCTGTTTCTGGTTTTGTAACAGTTTGTCGAAATATATCCTGGTCTAGTTTAGATAAATTTCAATATTACTTTGTGATTGCAATTGGGAGAACATAAACTAATTAAATAAAATTTGAGATCTTTAATAACAAAGTTGTCTAGGTAGACAGTATCAAAGTAAATAAGTTTGATATAATTTAGGATATAAGCTCCTACACTACTCTGTAATGCAGTGTTAAATTGTACATACAGCAATAAAGTGCTAAGGCCATATATTGTAATAGTATGACTCACAAGTATTGTCTGGTACATTGATATATATATATATATATATATATTTTTTCACAACAAGTTGGCTCTCTCCCACCGAGGTAGAGTGACCCAAAAAGAAAGAAAATCCCCAAAAAGAAAATACTTTCATCATCTTTCAAGACTTTCACCTCACTCATATGTAATCACTGTCTTTGCAGAGGCACTCAGATACAACAGTTTAGAAGCATATATAAAGGTATATAACATATCCCTCCAAACTGCCAATATCCCAAACCCCTCCTTTAAAGTGCAGGCATTGTACTTCCCATTTCCGGTACTCAAGCCTAGCTATAAAAAATAACCAGTTTCCCTGAATCCTTTCACTAAATATTACCCTGCTCGCACTCCAACAGCTCGTCGGGTCCCTAAACCCATTCGTCTCGATTCACTCATATCTAACACGCTCACGCACACTTGCTGGAAGTCCAAACCCCTCGCCCACAGAACCTCCTTTGCCCTCTCCTTCCAACCTTTTTGAAGATGACCCCTACCCTGCCTTCCTTCTCCTACAGATTTATACACTCTCCATGCCATTGTACTTTGATCCATTCTCTCTATATGACCAAACCACCTGAACAATTGCTCTTCAGCCCCCTGACTAATACTTTTATTAACTCCACACCTTCTAATTTCCACACTACGAATTCTCTGCATAATATTTACACCACACATTGCCCTTAGACAGGACATCTCCACTGCCTCCAACCACCTCTTCACTGCAGCATTTACAACCCAAGCTTTACACCCATATGAGATTGTTGGTACCACTATACTTTCATACATTTTCTTCTTTGCCTCCATTGATAACGTTTTTTGTCTCCACATATACTTCAACGCACCACTCACCTTTTTTCCTTCATCACTTCTGTGGTTAACATCATCCTTCATAACCTCATCTGCTGACACATCAACTCCCAAATATCTGAAAACTTTCACTTCTTCCATTCTCCCTCTCTCCAATGTGATATCCAATTTTTCTTTATCTAAATCATTTGATATCCTCATCACCTTACTCTTATCTGTGCTCGCTTTCAACTTTCTACCTTTACACACCCTCCCAAACTCGTCCACTAACCGTTGCAACTTTTCTTTAGAATCTCCCACAAGCACAGTATCATCAGCAAAAAGTAACTGTGTCAACTCCCATTTTGTATTTGATTCTGCATAATTTAATCCCACCCCTCTCCCCAACACCCTAGCATTTACTTCTTTTACAACCCCATCTATAAATATATTAAACAACCATGGTGACATTACACATACCTGTCTGAGACCTACTTTTTCCGGGACGTAATCTCCCTCTCTAATACACACCCTAACCTGAGCCTCACTATCCTCATAAAAACTCTTTACAGCATTTAGTAACTTACTGCCTATTCCATATACATGTACCTGCAACGTCTGCCACATTGCTCCCCTATCCACTCTATCATGTAGCTTTTCTAAATCCACAAATGCAATGGAAACTTCCGTACCTTTATCTAGATGCTGTTCACATATATGCTTCAATGTAAACACTTGATCAACACATCCCCTACCCACTCTAAATCCTCCTTGCTCATCCGCAGTCCTACTCTGTCTTATCTCTAATTCTTTCAGTAATAACCCTACCGTACACTTTTCCTGGTATACTCAGTAAACTTATTCCCCTATAATTTTTACAATCTCTTTTGTCCCCTTTCCCTTTATATAAAGGAACTATACATGCTCTCTGCCACTCCCTAGGTACCTTCCCCTCTTATATACATTCCTTCTTCTTTCAACACATCGGCCGTATCCCACCGAGGCGGGGTGGCCCAAAAGAAAAAACAAAAATTTCTCCTTTTAAATTTAGTAATATATACAGGAGAAGGGGTTACTAGCCCTTTGCTCCCTGCATTTTAGTCGCCTCTTACGACATGCATGGCTTACGGAGGAAGAATTCTGTTCCACTTCCCCATGGAGGTTATATACATTTATTAAACAAAAATACCAACCACTCCAACACTATATCCCCCTCCTGATTTTAAAATTTCTATCATAATCCTGTCAGTTCCAGGTGCTTTACCCCCTTTCATTCTACGTAATGCCTCACACACCTCCCCCACACTCGCATCCTGCTCTTCTTCACTCCTAAAAGATGTTCTACCTCCATGGCCAGTGCATGAAATTACCACCTCCCTTTCTTCATCGACATTTAAAAGTTCCTCAAAATATTCCCGCCATCTACCCAATACCTTCAGCTCCCCATCTACTAATTTCCTTACTTTGTTTTTAACTGACAAATCTATTCATTCCCTAGGCTTTCTTAACTTGTTTATCTCACTCCAAAATTTTTTCTTATTTTCATCAACATTTCTTGACACTGCTTCTCCCACTCTATCATCTGCTCTCCTTTTACACTCTCTCATCACTCTCTTCATCTTTCTTTTACTCTCCATATACTTTGCTCTTCTTATAACACTTCTGCTTTGTAAAAACCTCTCATAAGCTACCTTTTTCTCTTTTATCACACCCTTTACTTCATCATTCCACGGATCACTCCTCTTTCCTCCTGCATCCACCCTCCTATAGCCACAAACTTCTGCCCCACATTCTAATACTGCATTTTTAAACTATTCCAACCCTCGTCAACCCCCCATCCTTCTCCACTACTCATACCTGCACTAGCCCACCTTTCTGCCAATAGTTGCTTATATCTCATCCTCACTTCCTCCTCCCTTAGTTTATACACTTTCACCTCTCTCTTACTTGCTGTTACCATTTTCCTTTTGTCCCATCTACCTCTTATTCTAACTTTAGCTACAACTAAACAATCATCCGATAAACATGTACATCCTAAAGCCTACGCATCAACCTTTTATCCACCAATACATAATCTAACAAACTACTTTCATTACGTGCTATATCATACCTTGTATACTTATTTATCCTCTTTTTCATAAAATATGTATTACTTATTACCAAACCTCTTTCTATACATAGCTCAATTAAAAGCTCCCCATTTTCATTTACCTACTACTCCCTCCACAACATTTTTTACCCACTTTAGCATTGAAATCTCCAACCACAAGTACACTCACTAAACATTTCCCAAAATCTCTCTCTCTCCTCTACTCTTCTCTCTTCTCCAGATGCATAAATGCTTACTATTACCCACTTCTCACATCCAGCCTTTATTTTACTCCACATAATCCTTGAATTAATACATTTATATTCCCTCTTTTCCTGCCATAACTTATCCTTCAACATTATTGCTACTCCTTCTTTAGCTCTAACTCTGTTTGAAACCCCTGACCTAATCCCATTTATTCCTCCCCACTGAAACTCTCCCACCCCTTTCTGCTTTGTTTCACTGAAAGCCAGGATATCCAGCTTCTTCTCATTCATAACATCCACAATCATCTCTTTCTTATCATTCGCACAACATCCACGCACATTCAAACATCCCATTTTGACGGTTTTCTTCTTTTTCTTTTTAGTAGGCTATACTGGAAAAGGGGTTACTAGCCCATTGTTCCCGGCATTTTAGTTGACTTTTACAACATGCATGGCTTACGGAGGAAAGATTCTTATTCCACTTCCCCATGGGTATAAAATATAAGAATAATACTAATATATACAAGTGTGTGTGTGAGAATGTGGGTATGTGCTCAGAGTGCTCATTATGTCTCGCTTTAAACCTGTAGAACAATGGCACAGACCTTCAAGGGGTTAAGGAGTAAAAATTGGGATATTCTTTTGTGAATTTATCCATTAATAGCATTTTATTTACTTTTTCAGTTTACTGCTGCCAGTGCAGATACATCTTGGACATTAGGTGATGTTAAGACTGTTCAAAATACACCACAACGAGAACGTAAGAGAAAGTCCAGATGGGATGATTAAATGTCATGCTGCAATTCTTTTAATAATTAACATTTTAATTTGTAGTTGTCATTTTTAGATATAAGCATCATAGGTGAAATCCATCATAAAAATCTAATAAATTTGCATTAACATCACAAACTGACATTTCAATTTGCAAATTCCTGCAGATAACCCAGAAATGGTATATTCTTTAAAAAACTGAAACCTGGTTAAATTGAAATGTATGCACTTTGCGCTACTTCCAGGTATTACAAGTATGCGAAAGTTGGGATGCTTAGGGCCTCACTTCTTTAGTCACATGGATGGAAATGGGTCTTGAAAAGTCAGTCTGTGCTGTCATGATTACCGAGACATTCATTGTAATGCTAAAAGTATATTGATCAGTGAGAAAATTTTTGTTAATTCCATCTCAAGAACCAGATGAATACTGATAATTGACAGCAACTTAAAAAAAAAATTACATGAAAACAAACACACAAAAACACACACAAAAATAAACACACACACACAGAAATAGAAGTATGTCAACAGTGTTACTTGTGTAGTACAGTGATACAGTTATTTCCCTGCCACATTATAGTAAGGGTCCCTTGCTAGCCATGATGTCATGAGACTCTTCACATGTGAGCCTTGGCTACAGGCCTCCCTCTCACTTCCTCACTAGATATAGAATGGTAGACAGGCGACTTGGTCTCCTCCTCTCAAGACTGTATAATATAAATAAACACACACACATGTATGTACATATATATTCTTCTTGCAACAAACTGCCATATTCCACCAAGGCAGGGTGGCCCAAAATTTAGTAATATATACTACAAGAGAAGGGGTTACTAGCCCCTTGCTCCCAGCATTTTACTTGCTTCTTACGACACGCATGGCTTACAGAGGAAGAATTCTGTTTCACTTCTCTGTGGAATATATGTACAGTATTTATATATACAGTGGAACCTTGGTAATCAAACAGGCCTGTACTCGAACAATTTGGTACTCAAACGCTTTGTTCGGTAAAAAAAATCGCTCGGTAGTCGACCGTTTGCTCGGCCCTCTACCAAACAAACAAGACCTGCCAGAGCATGTGTGTCAGTCTCCTCGCAGCTGTCGTTCAGTCCAGAACTCCGCTGAACTTCATTGTAAACTATTTCATGTTTCTTAGCATTTTTGGGTGATTTTTTATATTGTATAAATAAGTCACCATGGGGCCTAAGAAGATTAGTGATAAGTCAACAACAAAGAAAATTGGTTAGAATGTGGTTGCCCTGATGTAAACACTTCCTCTTCCTCTCTATATAATATGCCTTTTATTAATTTTGGCATCTTTATTGTGCTTCCAGATTATCTATTGTGTTTCTGATATCATCTTGGAATAAATGTGATAGATAACCATTATTACTAATATTAGTGTCATTACACAACAATGTATTAGCACCACCGCTAGTATCTGGCTATCAAGATGACTCATCAGATACTGAATGCTCCTTCTGCTGGCCCCTCCCTCTCTCTCCTATGGCTCCTCCCACTTCGGGCTACTCTTATATTACACTTGCTTTCCATTTTGAATTTTTATTCACACCAAAAATAGAAGATTTACTGTTATGCAGACTACTGCATTTTTGAAAATGGTATAAATAATATCATCACATTTGTGAAAGCATATTAGACCCACCAGTTGACGTGTATTGGACGTGTGACATGATTTGTTTACTCTTGAACATCAGCAAAAATCAAACATTACTGCTACTTTGAGCTCAATTTCAAGGTACTTTTAGCCTGTAAATCATTCACAATCATCTCTATTATTGTAATATATCTTTCATTCTATCAAATGAGACCAAGAAAACGAGAATACAATCGTAAATACCATACGAAAATACACAAAGTCGCTGTAAGTTTATTTTTGGGGGTCTGAAATGGATTAATAATTTACATTATTCCTTATGGGAAAAATTTGTTCGGTACTCGAACAGCCTTCCGGAATGAATTAAGTTTGAGTGCCAAGGTTCCACTGTATGTCTTCTTTCAACAAACTGGCCGTTTCCCACCTAGGCAGGGTGGCCCAAAAAGAAAAAACAAAAGTTTCTCTTTTTAACTTTAGTAATGTATACCGGAGAAAAGGTTACTAGCCCCTTGCTCCTGGCATGTTAGTCCCCTCTTACGACACGCATGGCTTATGGAGGAAGAATTCTGTTCCACTTTCCCATGGAGATAAGAGGAAATAAACAACTAGAACTAGTAAGAAAATGGAAGAAAACCCAGAGAGGTGTGTATACATATGCTTGTACATGCATGTGTAGTGTGACCTAAGTGTAAGTAGAAGTAGCAAGATGCACCTGAAATCTTGCATGTTTATGAGACAGAAAAAAGACACCAGCAATCCTACCATCATGTAAAACAATTACAGGCTTTCATTGTACACTCACTTGGCAGGATGGTAGTACCTCCCTGGGCAGTTGCTCTCTACCAGCCTACTACCTTCATGTATTTCTATATACTATATATATATTTATTTATTTATTTATATATACCTGTAATTGTTTTACATAATGGTAGGATTGATGGTGTCTTTTTTCTGTCTCATAAACATGCAAGATTTCAGGTACATCCTGTTACTTCTATTTACATTTAGGTCACACTACACATGTATGTACAAGCATATATATACACATACCCCTCTGGGTTTTCTTCTATTTCGTTACTAGTTCTATTTCTTGTTCATTTCCACTTTTCTCCATGGGGATGTGGAAAAGAATTCTTCCTCTGTGAGTCATGTGTGTTGTAAGAGGTGACTTAAATGCCAGGTGCAAGGAGCTAGTAACCCCTTCTCCTGTATATATTACTAAGTGTAAAAGGAGAAACTTTTGTTTTTCTTTTTGGGCCACACCACCTAGGTGGGATTTGGCCGGTTTGTTGAAAGAAAAAAAGTACAGTGGACCCCCGCATAGCGATATTAATCCGTGCAAGAGAGCTCATTGTTATGCGAAATTATCGTTATGCGAATGAATTTTCCCCATAAGAAATAATGGAAATCAAATTAATCCGTGCAAGACACCCAAAAGTATGAAAAAAAATTTTTACCACATGAAATATACATTTTCCTACACACAAAGAGAAGGATACATGCACAATAGTAGAGTAGTACATGCACAATATATATTGTGCATGTACTACTCTACTAAATGAAGAATAAATGACACCTTTATTGAAGATGCAGCAATGACTGATGAGACACTGTGTCCTGGGAGTGCCTTTTCCTCCTGAGTACTGTAGGTCCTGTTTGGCATTTTCTTCCAGAACAGGCCTTATCACACTGTGTATGCCACTACGATTCTTAAATCTCCCAAACCAACCTTTGCTGGCTTTAAATTCACCAATATGAGCGCTAGTTCTAGGCATTTTTCCCTGTTCACCTGGGTGTTAGTCGACTGGTGTGGGTTGCATCCTGGGAAACAAGATTAAGGACCCCAATGGAAATAAGTTAGACAGTCTTCGATGACACTGACTTTTTTGGGTTATCCTGGGTGGCAAATCCTCTGGGGTTAATTGTTTCTTGGTATTCTCAATAAGCCACACCAGCAACTGTGCTACAGCAGCAGCAGCAGCAGCTGACAGTGCTATAGCAGCAGCAGACGATGCTACAGCAGCAGCAGACGATGCTACAGCAGCAGCAGATGGTACTACAGCAGCAGCTGACGGTGGTACAGCAGCAGCAGCAGCTGACAGTGCTACAGCAGCAGCAGACGATGCTACAGCAGCAGCAGACGATGCTACAGCAGCAGCAGACGATGCTACAGCAGCAGCAGACGATGCTACAGCAGCAGCAGACGGTACTACAGCAGCAGCAGACGGTACTACAGCAGCAGCAGCAGCAGCTGACGGTGGTACAACAGCAGCAGCAGCTGATGGTGCTACAGCAGCAGCAGCAGCTGACAGTGCAGCAGCAGCAGCAGCAGCTGACGGTGGTACAGCAGCAGCAGCAGCTGTACCACCAATAGTAGCGATGGTTGATTGGGGTTTATTATACAACCTGGCCAGCTCGGAGATACGCACTCCACTTTCATACTTATCAATGATCTTTTTCTTCATCTCTATAGTAATTCTTACCCTTATTGCTGTAGGGTTGGCACTAGAAGCTTTCTTGGGGCCCATGGTCACTTATTTTGCAGATAAAATCACCAAAAACACTGTAATAATACGAAATGTTCCGATCATATGCTTGGATGTTACCGCGGAGGCTGGCTGGTAAACAATGCCACTGGCGGAACATGTGAGCATGGCTCAGGCCGCACATAGACGCGTCTCGGACGAACAGCATTGAGCGGGTTTTTTAGCGGTATGCAAGGCAAAATCTTAGCGATAAAATGTAGCTGTATGCGGATTTAACGTTATGTAAGGCCAACGGTATGCGGGGGTCCACTGTATATATGTATATACATATATATATATTTTAACATGTCGGCCATTTCCTACTGAGGCAGGGTGACCCAAAAAGAAAGAATATTTTTACACAAACACACATACACACAGCAATATATATTTGTTATCTGAGATAATATTCAGATAAAAGTGGTATTAAGAAGTTGCTAACACTAGAAGTATTAATGAATAATGATAAAATTAATGTAGTAGACCTACTTGAGAGATGACAAAGGATAGGTGGTGGCATGAAATTCTAGCAACATAACAAATTAAGACGTACCCAAAATTATGTATATACATTATATATATATATTCTACAGCTGTACTGTATTTCATTGTTCTAGATAAAGTTTTATGAGTGGTTTAATACTGGACTGTTTCAGATATACTGTTGCTTATCATAACTTCATGTCAGTGAATACGTATGTACTTTCTTATAGAAATCATCTGTGATGTGTATAGGAGTATTATACATATAAACCAGAATTTCCCCAATTATGTTTAATTAAACAAGACAATAACCATGACTCTGCTAAAGGCAAGGTTTTCTTCCAGTGTATATTTTTTACTAAGGGTTACATGCTCTCAACTGGTCCTACACTGGTATGACTGCTTTGTCCATACGTTATCTTACAAACACAATTTTATGCCAATTTTATCTGTCCATACCTTAAGAAGAGCGTGAACAAATATACTATGTGGAATACAGTAATTTCCTTTAGTTATGTTTCCCTGCTGAATAGTAAGATGGGTGTTTATGACATATTCAGACAGATTGAAATACATACATAATTAAATCTCACAATAGAAAAAATGAAGGCTTTGAAGGGGCATGATCACAGTATACAAGAATCTCAGGTATACTGATTAAGTGAATACCTTAATAAATTGGACTAACCTTTGATGGTTGAATTTCAGTATTTATAATTGTAAAATAATACAGATTTAAAAAATGAATAGGCAGATATTGGATGAACTCCATGTAGGTAATAAAGGTATAAATAAAAATGGACCCTGTGAGTAAAAGAAGTAATTTAAAGCCAAGATAGTAGTGTATTGTACTAAGAGAATCAAAAGTCCAACTGAATTTAATTTATTTTTAAAGACCATCTCTGACCTCTCTCACTCTCTAATAATCTCACATTTCCAGCAGACTCACTACAATTTCTTAACCTACACAGTTTTTCTACATTTGCTGCAACCCTCATCCTTTCTGTCAGTGTCCTTTCCTCAATCCCTCCACTTCATTACCCCTACTGTCTCAGTCATCTCTGCCATTCAGCACTAAATGACCTGTATAAGTTTAAAGCTTTCCAAAAATATAAGAGTAATAATAATTTTGTCATATTCAAGGTTTTATCCAATACAATTATCCTTACTCTGTATACAGTAATTTTTTGGTGTGTTCTGGTTTAGAAATTACCTACAGTTTTAGTCATTATATGCAAGTTTGACATATTGGAGTGCATCAGGTTTTGGGCAATGAACATTACATACAGACTAAGAAGTAAATTACATGAAACCTGTTTGGAAAAGCAGAACTGATTTCAGTTTTGCGAGGCAGGGATTAAGAATGAATACAAATTCCAGTACAGTATTTAAAATTCTAAAAAAAAAACTGCATAACACACAAATTAGAAAAATGCTCTAACATTGCCCAAACAAACTAATGCAAGACAATGGCTTTTAAATTATTGACACTCCATTGAAGTTTTAGAAAGCATAATCTCTTTAAAGTGAATAGTGAACAACTGGGTTAGATTATCACATAGATAGTAAGTAAGAGCAACATCATATACAGTGTACCAGTGCTGTACTGGAAATTATTGATCTGACATCATTTTAATATTTTTATATCAAAAGATATGATAATGGGGAATAGTGAATAGGAGTAATGGCATGTGCTTGCATAGTGTTATTTTATTCCTATAATGTGAAATGAAAGCAGTTGCCCTGCTGGCAAGACAATGATTGAATGAGTGATGGTGAGAGTGTTTTCTCTTTTGTTGGGTAACCCTACTTCGGTGGGATGGCTGAAGTGTTAAAAAATTTTATGTACGGATCTGAAACTATAATGTATATTCACCAAGTTTTGGTCAGGAAGAATTATGTCATGGCTTTCTGTGGAAATGTTTTATTGCTTTGAATGCCAATTGTGCATGCAGCCTGACAGGGTACCAAATATTTGTGAAGTCTTCTAAAAATCACACAATTCAAATTTTTATTTCACATGATACATCATTTGTACAAAATTGGATAATATTTAATATAGCACATGGTTATGCAGAGCAGCACTGTTTCACATATATTGAACTATGTACAGTACATATATATCTTGTATCTTAATGGCCATCTCCTGTCTATGCAGGGTGACCCAGAGAAGAAAACATTTGTCTTGCCAAAAGTGTGCTGACATCACAAATCAGATTACCCTCCAACTGCAACATCCCCACCCTTCCTTCAGGACTCAAGTCCACCTAACTAGTTACCCTGTATCCCTGTGTAAAAGTTACCTTGCTCACACTCCCACAGCACATCCATTAACCCTTTGACTGTTGCAACCCCAAATCCTGAAGTGTCTCCTGGCGCCGAAAAAATTTTGGAAAAAAAAAAAAAAAAAGATTTTTTCTCATGAAATGATAGAGAATCTTTTCCCAATGGTAATGACACCAAAAGTACGAAATTTGATCAAAAACTTACGGAATTACGCTCCCGCAAAGTTAGCGATCTCGGTGATATACACGCATCGGTGATTTTCCAAATTTGAGCCCTATTTTCGGCCAATTCCTTTGTTCCAGTCGATCAAACTCATAGCTATTTCTTTAGAACTCCATTTTTTCTATCAATTGAGTACAAGAAACCACCCATTTACCGATTTCAACTACCCAGTAAAGTGGTCAGAAATAGGCAATTTGGCCAATTTCACGCAAATTAAAAAAGATGCCAATTTCAAAATTGGGTCCAGAATAAACAATGCAGACATGCTTGACACTAAAATAACATATCCTCTGCTCATTAATCACGTCTCCAGGCCCCTCTTATATTACTCTTGCTTTCTATTTTGATTTTTATTCACACAAAAAATAGAAGATTTACTGTTATGCAGACTACTGCGTTATTGTAAAAATGGTATAAATAATATCAGTGCACTAGTGAAAGAATATTAGACTCCCCAGTTGATGTGTATTGGATGTGTGGTGTGATTTACTACCTCTTGAACATTGGTAAAAATCGAACATTTCCGCTATTTTGAGCTCAATTTCAAGGTCGTTTTCATCGTGAAACTAATCAAAATCATCTCTGTTCTGTAATATGTTTTCCATTCTATCAAATGAGACCAAGAAAACAAGAATTTAACCATAAATACTATAGGAAAATACACCTCAAAGTTGGCGTTTTAATCCAAAAACACGGTCAGTTTTTTTTTCTCATTATGCACTGCGTGTTGCAGGATTTTTTTTATACAGTGCACACTGACCACACAGACCCATTCTCTCACATGTGGGCCTACCAGCTTTCTCCTGCTTGATTTGAAGCCGCTAGAATTATTGAGTATATATATATCCGAAACACTGGCTCGTAAGACGTATATATACGGCCGAAACAGTCAAAGGGTTAAAAACCACTTGTCTCCGTTCACTCCTATGTAACACATTCACATGTATTTTAATATAGTACATGTATTAAGCAACCAATATTGATCAGAAAGATGCATGTGAAAGATTTGTAGGGAAATGTTTAATGCTTTCAGCACAGAGTTCTATATGCTGCATGGAGAGGCAGCAGACAGGCTTGTATCAATTCTTTCCCCATAATAACATAGGTCATACTGTATTAAACACATAGGGTATCTAACTTTTTTTTTTTTTTTACACGTTGGTCGTCTCCCACTGAGGCAGGATAACCCAAAAAGAAAGAAAAAACCTTCATTATCATTCAACACTTTCACCATCACTCATACATAATCACTGTCTTTGCAGAGGCACTCAGATACGATAGTTTAGATGTCCCTCCAAATTGCCAATATCCCAAACCCCTCCTTTAAATTGCAGGCATTGTACTTCCCATTTCCAGGACTCAAGTCTGGCTAACTGGTTTCCCTGAATCCCTTCACAAAATATTACCCTGCTCACACTCCAACAGCTCGCCAGGTCCAGCAAAATGCAAAGCTGTGTATGTTCAAGTGACCAGTATATAGTAAATTGATAATAGGGCACCACAATAATCTATGCTATATGGTGCATGGAGAGGCAGCAGACAGGCTTGTATCAATTCTTACCCCCATGATAACATAGGTCGTAGCAGAATACATGGCATGTATGTGTCAGAAGCACTCTATAAAAAACCTTCAGTATACAAAACTCTCTAGTTTTTTCTAGCAAAATGTGTGTATGCTCTGTAGTTTCCAGTGTTGTATCACATAAGACACCCAGCAAGTGAAACACATCGGCTTCCATCTGCTCGCATATTGTACGTACTGTGTATATACTACAATATTGTTTTACTTGTACACTTTTAAAGAAATCAGTCCAATTTTTTATTATACTAAATTAAACACATAGGGTATCTAACTAAACTTATTTCCAGCACAACACAAAGCTGTGTATGTTCAAGTGACCAGTATTTAGTAAATTGGTAATAGGGCACAACAATAATTTTATTGCAGAATTATAAAAACACTTGATGTACAAATAGGGCCTCTTAGCAAAATTGCAAGCTCTGGGAATTGTAGGCTCTACGCTATGCCTCCTCAGTGATTACCTTCATGGTAGATCTCTAAGGGTAGTTCTCAATGGAACAGAATCAGCAAGACATCCTATTCGGGCAAGAGTTCCACAAGGAAGTGTTCTGGGACCATTGTTATGGAATGTCTACTTCAATGGCCTTCTTCATCTCATCCCTGAATCACATGCATATGCAGACAACTGTACACTGACATTCACTTATCCAAGAGAAGAAATGCCAACTGCTCTAAGTTGCATCAATCACCAGCTAAGAGCTATATCAGCTTGGGGAAATGGATGGCAAGTAACATTTGCACCTGAGAAAACACAAATGATGATGATTTCTAGGCACCATGATGGTAATGCCGGTGCAGTAATAAGGATGAATGGGAGGGCGTTGGCACCTGGGAAAGAAGTTGATATCCTTGGGGTGAAATTTGACTCCAAACTGACCATGAAAAACCATGTTGTAAATCTTGCAAACAAGGCAGCCAGGAATCTTACAGCATTTCGCCGTATCTCGCATCTGCTTGACAGCAGGGGTTGCAAGATTTTGTACGAGGCACAAGTACGCTCACACCTTGAGTATGCTCCACGTTCTTGGTTCACCTGCCCCCCTTCTCATCTGTGACTGCTTGACAGAGTAGAGAACAGAGCAAGCCGTCTCATCTCTCGCTTGGACCAGTCCTGGATAGATTTGTCATTTCAGAAGAGCCTTCAACACAAGAGGGATGTGGGTGGCCTTACTGTTATGTACAAGGCCAATATTGT